ACAAGAGACAAAGAGGTTCCTTCTCTGTTAACTGATATCACAACAACAGGTGAGGTGTGTGTGTGTGTGTACATATATGTGCGTGTGTGTTGATGATGTTGAAAGCAATTGCGACGCGTCGTGTAAATGGTGCCCACAAAGTGTTGAAATAGCAACAACAACAACAACAACAGATAGGTGATATTGTAGTAATAGCTGACTCGTCTGATAAGTTAATGGCCATAAAAAGCTTCACACAATAAACTGTAACTGAAACAGAGGATGATGGGGGCAAAGTAAGTAAGTAGTAAACAGTATAAGAAACTCATTGTCCGATAAGATACAGCCACAATGCACCAGAGGCAGAAGAAGAGGAAGGAAACTCATTACAAAAGAAGAAAACTAAGCGAAGCAGAGTTCTACAAATTGAGTAATTCCAAATGGGGCAAAAAATGAGGCTGAACTCTCAAAAAGGAAGCAGAAGCATATACAATAGAATATATAATTAGATAATATAATAATAGATCATTTGCAACAGCAAATAAACGAGTTGAAATCCTTTTGTTATCCAAGCAAATTACTCACAACAAATCTTAACCGTGCAACGCCGCCTAATCTCTTTAAATATAACAACAAATTAAGAGCTAAGCGTTTTTTCATTCATTTTTCCTCTAACATACATTTTTATGGTCATTTTTCTAATGCAAACCTTGAACCTCAGAGCTCACTGCTCTACGTAGAGCACCATATCATGAGTATAAATACCATATTTCCTTTAACTTCCAAGTGTAAAGTAAAACTAATTGCTTGCCGGTTGAACTAGTTCAGCAGTTCATTAACTATACAGTTGACCATAAAGCATGAACAGTTATTGAATTATTAAGTCGCTTAATGGAAATAATCAGCTGAATAGAACTTATTGATCACATGAACTAGCATATGAAAATTATTATACAAATATGAGCATATGAGAACTATTAGTTCCATTAACCAAACTAATAGCTGAATAGTTCAATAGAACATATTCTCATATGAGAAAAATAACAATATTTGAAATATATTTTAGCAATCGATCTCAGAACAAGTTCCATTGACGGTACTATAGAACTAGCTCAATAAAAAGTAAACTCTAAAGTTCAGTCAATGAAACGAAATAAATCATTTATAAGCAATTAGGTGGCTCAGTTGAAAGTGTGATTTGCTGATCACTGAACAAGTTCCGTAGCTCATTTTAATGGCATTCTTAAATTCTAGAGTCAACCCAAACTTGTTATGTCTTCCAACATATCGAAAACAATAAACTCTGCCCTTTAAAGTCCCTTAAACTTTTCCCTCTGATAAGTTTTGTGAAAATAATCGAAATGATGAAGTTGACGATAATGATGATGATGTAATATCGCTTCGATGTGGGCACACGACTTTCGGTTCGAATTGGTTGAAGTAAGCGTCGTAGGCAAAGAGAAACAACGACCCCGATAAAAAAAAGCAATTGAGTCATCGTCATGAAAACGTGACAGAATAATGGCACAACATAAAAGACCCATTGATATATACATATATAATATATGTATATGTCTATATGAATGCCATTTTATTCACAATATCGTATTACAGATGATAAAGACTGAACAGAGGCACGATATAGCAAACCCTTAAGACTCTTTCTACTAGCTACTAAGTCCCTTTAATTGTTCTACAGCTTCGAGTCAAATAATATCTAAGTTAGATCAAACTGGTTTTATAATAATCTATATACATGTAGATAAAGTCAGTGACGTCACTTTTGACACTGACTTTCTCAATTATATTGATTGGACTCGCTTTTAATATTCGAATTCGCAGTCAATGCAACACAAGTGACTCGATTAATTAAATAAAGTCAATCGTAATTGGACACGGGGAGGGAGGGGCGGCAGAAGTGATTTTCGCATGTGCGTATAAATTATCATTGTGTAAATCGAACGGTTGCACTCTTAATTAATGTCAATTCATGAGTCAACGTTGAAGCATTGCAGTCGCAATGATTAGAAATTTAGTGCGGAATAGGGTTGAAGTAATCTTTAGATTGAGAGCATCGATGGGAATAATAAATGTTCTATAAATGGAATGAAATAATTCATAGATAGTTTTATAATTTCAATTGATGTGCATTTACAAATTAAAAATATTATTTACATATGTTGACCTTAAAATCTCAATTTTAAGTCGAATCGTGACTCATCGCAACCTATCGTTAAATTTGCGATGAACGATTAATTTCTACAAGTGTGCAAAGGCGATCACGTGAGGCGTTGCATACAAATACTAAAAACACACACACACATGCACACGCGCTTACGCACAGCTGTATGCAAAGATAACTGTAGCTGCACGAGTGCAAAAGAGAGCGAAATCCCATGTACAGACGCATTGGCGTCAATTGATTGGTCAGGGCATGTCAGGGAGAGGGCAGGGGCAAGGGGCACGAGCGAAAACGTAAATGTAACGTGTGTCAAATGCGACAAGTTTTTTTTTCAGCTTTGTTGCTTTTTTGAAGGTTACGAACGATGGAGAGGAGTGGGCGGCGCTTGGGCGACCGAACTGCGGTCCGGTTGTGGGAGCGGGTGACTGGGCGAGCGGCCGCCGATCGCCGAACGCGTTTTTCAAGTCCACTTCACGCTTGATGTTTGATGTCACTTGGTCAACTTGTTTGGGGGTTTGGTTTTATTTATTTTTATTTTTATTTTTCAGAATTTGTTGTTGTTTACTATGTGYTTTGCTTTGATTCAGATTCAGGTTGACTGTTGACTGAGCAGCGGGTGCAGCGCTCAGCTGCAAATTCAAAGTTCACAGAGCAAAGCTTTCAATTGGGTTTCATTTAATTTGATTTGTTTTTTTTTTTTCGCACATTGAATTACACAAACACACACACACACACATAGGCAGACAACCAGAATTTGTGTTTGCGCGCACCGTTAAATGGAGTAGGAAGAGGAAGCGATCGTTGCGTCAATTATGTACAATCTATTTGATTATTATGTTTTTTGGCATTTTTTCTAGTCTTTTTTTTTTTCTTCTTTTTTATTTATATTTTGCTCTTTTCTACTCTGTTTTGTTGTTTTGCGTGCGCGCGCGCTTCACCGTCGGCAGCAGCAGAATCAGAAGACTGGCTGACGCGACCGCGCACCTTAGCCATAGCGCAGCTCGCTTTGTTTTCTGTGCGTGTGTGTGTTAGAACTGAGAGCGGGAGAGTGAGAGAGCGTGCGTATGCGCCTGTATTCGTGCTCATACTCGTGCTCGTGTATGTCAATCGAATCAGCTGTGGGCGCGCACTCATACATTTGACGCTCATTGCACTTTGAATGAAATTTGTAACGGTAGTGTGCTTTCCAATTGGATTGCGCAAATGTTAACCACGACAGCACACATAAATTACATACGTTATGCAAAGCTCTGCGTTCTGCACTCTGCGCTCTCCGCTCAACCTCTGCTGCTTTTGTCTGCTGTCGTCTGCAGCTGAATGACGCACACAAATGCCCCAAAAACATGCGCCGGCTGCTGCTGCTGCTGCTGTTGCGGCCGCTTTCGATGCCGCCGCTGTCGATGATGACTGCGGCAGACAGTTGAGCGCAGTGCAAGAAGAAGAGATTCACAACTTACGTTCTGTCTGTCTGTAAGCGTGCGACAATAAAACAGCTGCGCTGACGGCAGCGGCGACAGCGACAGCGACAACGCTGTCAGCGAAAACTAAAACAACAAGTAAGAAAGCTCTAGTCGAGACTACTCGACTACGAGATCCCCTGAACCCYTGGAGWRWTAGCTATTTCAATAATTTTTCGCGACTTTCAGCTTACACAAGAAACACGCACACACACACACACACACAGACGGACAGACGGACAGACGGACAGACAGACGGACAGGGCCAAATCAACTCAGCTCGTCGCCCTGATCAAGAATATATATACTTTGTGGGGTCTGCCACGCCTCCTTCTGCCTGTTACATACATTTCAACAAAACCATTATACCCTGATTTCCCATTGAAAATGGGTTCAGGGTATAAAAAGAAAATGCAAAGCAGACGCAAAGTCAAAAGTTTCTGTATAGCACGCGCGCATATATATGTTTGTGTGTATGTACATCTGTGTGTGTCTGTGTGGTCCAATTATGTGTGTATTTGTTTGCTGGTGTGTGGACAGCGTACCTTTGCCTTTTGCCAAGTTCAAAATTATTTAAAACAATTAATATTCATTTTGCTTGAACATTTTCAATTAGCTGCAGCACGAATACCCCTTCTCCAGCCCTCTCCCGTTCTATTTCTCAATTGAATTTCTGCCCCTTGAGTGAAGGTGTCAAAAATGTTTCAGTCATAAATTAATGAATTAAGGAAACGAACAGAGAATCAGAACGAACGCTAAATGATTCGTAACTGATTTATTTAGAGTATACAAAAGACGTTAGTCATCTGAATTCCTCATTTAGAATAATTAGCAGCCTATTTAAGAGACCAAATACAAAAGCAAGAACAAAAACAAGAACAACAAAAAATGTATGTGAACTAAAAGAAATTCTTAGCTCACAAAGTGGGCAAACCAGCTAATCGAACGGAGTAGCGGCACATTTTGGGAATAACCGTTAAACGGGTTTCTTACGGAGCTGTTATCTGATCAGATCAATCAAGCGTTTACAATCGTTAATCGATAAGTTCATATCGAACATGCATGGAAATTGTCTTGAACGTGAATTAAATTGATTCGGCAAGGAAACGAATTTCTTTCGTTTATTGTTTTGCTGATCTAATCAATGAAAAGCTTCGCTATTGAGCTTTCGGCAATTACTATCGATACATATCTGCAGAGATGGGTGTATGCACATATGTGACTGTATTGTGAAGTGTGGTACAGTGTGATGAAACAATTAGTAAATTGGCTACATTGGGGTGTTGACTACACGCGTTTTTATTGATTTCGCATGTTTTTTAACGATGTCTAATAGGCAAATAAAAGAAAACTTATAGTAAATTAGAACAATATATGCAGAGTCCAAGCGGCAAAACCTGATGGCAATAAGTTAATCTAGCAAAGCTACGCTCCATTTACGCTGCCTGTCACGCAAGAGGGAGACAGAGAGATGGGAGTATTCTACACATAAGTGTGTCACAATTAACAATACAGAATTACGCGTTAATCAAGCGCAAAGACACAAGCACAAATACATATGCACATACAGTTATGTATGCCTGAAGAGAGCAGACAGTTTAATTAAGTTTTTTGGGCGATGTTGAGCCACTGTCGTTGCGGATGCGGATGGCGTTTCAATGGTAAATGGTAAATGGCCAAAAGCTGCGATATGAATCAGCTGCTGCCAAAAGTGCGCAATTTCCTATACGTCTTGTTAATGTTGTTGTTGTTTTTTTTTTTTTTTTTTTTGCAGTTTGGCCCACTGTTATTGTTGTTGCTGCTGCTAGTGAGAGACAACACAACCAGCCATAAATTGTAAAGTACCGTTTTGACCGCGGCACTCAGTTAGCATACTAAAGTATGGGAGCAAGAGAGAGAAAAAATAAACAAGAATCACCCGTTGTGAGAGCGCCAAACTAAAAGAGAGCCAAAGCTAACGCATCACAGTGGGAGGGAGAGCGTGAGCGCCCCGTGATGACAGCGGGTTTCTTATGTATGCGTGTGTATGTGTGTGAGACTGTAATGATTTGTGTGAGTCATGCTGAGAGCGACGTTAATGTCGCTGCTGATGAAGGTAAAAATCAACAAAAATTATAATAATAATAATAATGGAAAGTATTTAAAAAAACGAACGAAAGAAATAGGCAAGAGAGACGACGTACATCCCGACAGTAGACAGTTATTTAAATAGATAGACAGCAGATGATGTTGTTGATGGGGCGATAACATGTGGTTAAATGGATTAAAAAAGGCGTGAAGCGCACCAAGCACAAAAACCAAAGAGAGTGAGAGAGTGTGCGGGGGTCGGCACTTGTGGGGAGAGCGAAAACAAAAGCAGCAGCATAGCAGCTAAATGAACCGCAGCCGGAACTTGATGATGGCTCAGGCAAGCGCCATTCCAGCCTCAAGGTGAAGTTTTATGAGTGTTGCTACCTCTTCTTTTTTTTCTTTGCCTGCATCTCTTTTGCATGTGGGCGAAATTGAAAATGAAATTGTGAAAATATGTTAGTGTGTGTGTGTGTTTAGGTCAGCTACTGCAATTTATATAAACTAAAACAAATTATGGGCTCGTTGTTAATGAACTCTTTTTCATGCTCTTTTTCTGCTTTTACGTCAATGAGTTTCACTTGCAATTTACCTACAGCGAAGTTAACGGATGTGCATGTAAATAACAGAGCTCTGTTAACTATTACATTCGTATATCTCCAATGTAATTCGAGTCTTAATGTATATTATTGGCCTACTTGGGTCAGCTGACATTGCATAAATTCAATGCGCATAGAACCTTGTTAATAACATAGTTCTGTTAAATAACATAGTATGACATATTTACATACATGCATGCATTGCGAACTAGAGATCTCTGTTACGTATATAATATGTATACATAACAGACCTATGGTAGTAGTTTAGCGCATTTCACAAACTGTTCTAATAAGACATTGCCATTAACACTCACATTTATATGTCTGTATGTATTTAGTTGCATTACATAAGGATTTTATGAATTGTTGGCTAATAATTAATGTGTAGTATTAAGCTAACTGTATTTTCCATAGTCTAACAGTTACATTTTTTTTTTTTTTTTTTTTTTTTTTTGCAATTTTAAAGTCTGGTTGGGAACTCACATTTATTAAGCACAAGTTCAAATTGGACTCCATTGTCATAGTTTTTGGCATCTTCTTACCAACAACGCTCGATTCTTGGAAACAGAAATTTCCGTTGACCTCTGGCGCTCTGCCATTGGCCAGTGGCCATTGGGGCCAGCCCCCGCCGGAGTTGTGTTCCAAATTTTGTAACAGAGGCCAAGAAGAGCTAATGGACAAATAATTACACTCAGCAACAAGAGCAAAAGAAACGCTTTTGGCCTTACTCAGAATGGGGCATTTGAAGAGGAGCAAGAGAGGAGCAGACCGAGGGGGATTTATCCAGTTGGTTTTATGTCAATTGCTTATGCATAATTACCGCAATAGAATAGACAAACGGCATTTGACAACAGTAACGAATACACTGTGAGAAATTTTTAGTTCAGAGACAAAAATTAGATGCAAATCTAAATTTATATTCGATAAGATACTGGTTTTTTAGCTGACTATATAAATAAAGAGGATAGAAATATAAATATTTCACGCAGAAAAAAAAAATAAATTCATATTAATAAAATTAAGCAAAATTATAATAATATTTCATTCAAATATTAATCAATCATAAATATTGGAGTTGAATGTAAAAAGAAAAAAAAAATGAACCGTGGGAAATCTATTAATAATCAAATCTTGCAAAATAAAAAAGTCATTTAAAATGTTAATCTATTAGTGGAGTTTAAATGAAGATTTAATTTAATTTTTTTTAAAGAGTTTCTTGTTTCATTTGTGTATATAATTATTTATAATTTG